TTAGCACTGCATACTCCTACGCCTACAGCAAGGTTTTGGGAAAAGTATATTTTATTTAAAAAGATTTGTTTTTCAGCTGTGGGTGGTATCTTCGAAGGTATCCACGATATCACAGATGTGTGCAAGCAGCCAAGAGTAATAAAATGTTTGCCTAGGCTTTTTTTTAATTGTGTCGTTATATAATAACTACAAACTTTGCTCTTCTTGGCTGTACATTGCATCCATTTTCCCAACCTACCAGAATAGGACAGCTGACATATTGTACATACAGTAATAAAAAATTAGTCAAATTAACTTTAGGTTTCAAAACCTACTCTAAGGGTTTCTAGGATCCCAACCCTACATGAGACAGGCAATGCTACATGACTAACCTATGCAGAGCTAAGGTCATTAAGGGGTTGGTGTTAATGGTTAAGTCAAAAGTACGGTTTTGGTGAGTGCCTCCTTGATAGTATTCTAAATGAATGGGTTGACCTTAACACGAAGCTCTTACTGTAGCTGCCTACCCTGCTTACTTTGGTGATAATCATCACTACCAATATCATCATAAACAGTGATAGATTTTGTTTCTTTCTTATTTTCTGTTATGAAACAGATAAGCTTACAAATCCAACATGTCGAGCTTGGCAAAGTAACAAGACACTATCTTGTTACGTCCAATTCTTTATATCTATCTTGTTATATTTATTCATCAGTGACAATTTAAAATGATGTTCCACTTTTCTATTAGTTTACTACATCATATTCATATATTACTGCTGACCATTTTACAGAACATACCAGGCTGCTCTGTGTTTCTGAATGTTTTTTACTGCCTCTGTGCTGTGTATGGATAAAACTTTAAAGGACCAGCATGTAGGATTCAGTGGCATCTAGAGGTGTTGTTGCCAATTGCAATTCCTCACTACACCCCTCCTTCCAAGTGCGAAGACGGCCATATTTAGAGCCAGTATTTGGTTTGTCCATTCTGGGCTACTGTAAATATTAATGTAAAAGAAGGCATAGACTGATGATACTTTGGGCTGTAATTGCCTTTAATGCATAGTTACAGCTGTAGAGTGACCGGAAAGAGAGACAGAGAGAGGGGAAGACGCGTAGGTTGGATTTGAACCCATGGCGGCTGCAGCAAGGACTCAGCCTTAGCACATGGGGCGCCAGCTTATGATAATATCCATCACAGTGAATATAAAGCTTGATTGTATTATCCAGGGGCATGGTGGTGTGTTCAAGTTCTGGTGGAAAAACTGTGAGAAAATTAAGAAGAAAAAACATTCCATTGGGCCCAACTTGAAGCAACTGAGCTACTGTGTTTGGACTGCAAGAAGATTAGGGGGAACCTGTAATACCCTCAATGTTCTATTTTTTCTTTTTAATTTCTGGACTCCATTTTGTAATATAATGCATTGCCTTTCTGGACTCATCATAATTATTTCCATATGTATCCCGTTCTATATTCGTCCTTGATAATAATGTCTCATGATAAAACACAGGTGGCACTTGCAGTGCAGATGCAGGCATAAAAAAAGGTTGTCATGTCATTCCTGGAGGTTATCTGAGAACACAGTAGCCATTCACAGCATGTAGATCTTAGTAGCCATTATATAATATACCAATGAATTAAAATCTCTGCAGCCTAGTTCTCTCCCTCCTGCCATCTCTCTCACTGTTTGTGGTGTCAATGCCGTTGATTGTAGAGCTTGGCTGGAACTCTGTAAGGGAAAACTGGGAAAGGTCCCTGCTTGTGCTTTATACTCTCATTAAACTGTTTTGTTTATAGTTTATCAGCAATACAAATGTCTGTATCTTCTCATAAAGGCATAGGGAATACTAGTTCCTTCCTGTCTGCACTTCCATTCCTCATATTTCAACAATCCCTTTCTCTTCCTTGCTTTTGCTTGCCTGCCTTTTAAGTCACTTTTCAAAGCAATATGTGCCATTAACCAACTGTCAATGTAAGGGTGCTTGGCACATGGATTAGATTTTGATGGCTTTTCCCGACTGGAGAGGCTGAACTGCAAAAACTTTTTTTCAATCCAACTCTGAGAAATTTCAGCTTCTTCCCTGTCATTTAATTCCACTTTCAAATGAAGCATTACGCGGACACTCTGTCAGATTTTAATGCATCAGAGAGAGCACATGTACTTGTACTAAAGCCCACAAAGAAACCCTTTAAGCACCTTTCCATGACTGAGGCTTGTAAATGTAATTGCTGGTTTCACCTCCAGGCTTTCAAGAAAAGAGGACAGGAAAGAGTACAGATGGATGATTTTCAGTCTAATCACCATCCTTAAATTTCTAAAGAGATGCTGCAGAGAAAACCAGAAAGCAGAGAAATGGACCAGATTGCTCTCTTTCTGTTAGTATGTACTATGTGGTGTGTGTGTGTTTTTGTATTTTCTGCTTGCGAATGTTGCAGTTTCAGAGCACATTTTAATCTGTACTTCCAATTTAAGCAATTTACTTTAATCTTGCTGCATCTAGTCGAGTAGCCTTGCTCGGTTCCACTTACACTTAAATAGTTTGTTCGGATTTTTTGAAGTGGAGTTGTATGAGGGACTTATCCATAGTCAGTGTATTACCATGGCAGTCAGCAAGCCCTCAGTTTGGAGAAGCAGACAAGAGTACCAGCACGGAAGCTAAGCAATGCATTGCTGTGGACAGAGGCGGCAATATTTTTATAAGGTTTTCGCCACCTTAACAAAGGCCCACCTAAAACAATAGCAATTTAAATGTACACTATATTTAGGATATTTTCACTGCTTTACCTTGCTGTAAGACAGCTGGATGGAAAACCAAAGCCATTTTATCCACCTATGCTCTAAATCCAACAGACTCCTTTGACAAAAACAGTAATTTTGCCTTGTGCGCAGGAGTTGTAAGTTGCTGCTGATTGAGGCAGTGGTAGACCAGCAACTCACGTTCTGTAAAGCTAATGTTTTTGTCCAAGGAGTCTGGTGACTTTGAAGAGAGCGATAGGATGACATCAGTTCCCTGTCCAAAAGGGCTGTCTTGACAGCAAGGTAAAACGGTGAAAAATATAGTGTACACTTAAACTAATATTGATTTTTTTTTGTTTTTTTGTTTTGTTACTGTCCATGTCCACAGCAGTGCATTGCTTAACGTTCGTGCTGGTGTCTGCTTTTCCAAACTCGGGGCATGCTGACCGCCATCTATAATAGGTAATACACTGACTAATACACTGACTATGGATAAGTACCTCATATAACCCCACTTCAACAAATCCAAAAGAGATGTGTTTTTTTTAGCATCGGCTTCTCATGTTCCTTGTAAAGTGGAATAAACACACACATGTGCACAGACACACACAGACATGTCTGCATGACAACTAACGCATGCTTTTTGTTCGGGAACAGTCGGTGCTAGTAATGAGACTAAGTGTGGCCAGGCGGAGGGACAAGTGAATGAAACAGCTACAGAATCACTAGCTGTGTTTGATTTGCCTCCACTAATTCAAAGAGACCATCTGATAAATTGAGAGGATGGGATGTACATCAGAATAGCAAGAGGCGCCTCTTTGTTGTTTCCCATTCCCAACCAAATCACACACCAACCCCCATTAGAACACCCAGAGGGGAGAATGTTTCCCTTGTGTGTGTGTCTGTATGTGTGTGTGTGAGAGAGAGAGAGACTGAGCTGGGTTGCTAGGAGGTGTGAGTTTTCGGGAGGTCCTGCTGAAAGCAAATGAAGGAGCACTTGTGTCAACATTCTGACGGCAGCGATGAGCCACAAAGCCTGCCAGCCTGCCAGCCAAAGGGCTGCATAACCTCGCTGTGAAAAAGCAGGAGCCGCGCTCTCAGAGCCCTCTTGCGCTTCTTCTGTATGTGCAGATCAGTTAGATGAAAACTGTTTTCCTTTTCAATCTCAATATTTGACTTTAAATGTTTCCGCGGCTGTTGACTTGGCTTCTGCAGGAAGTTATAACTCAAAATGGTCATTATATATGATGGTCCATGGTTGTTTGCTATGTTTTTGACATTTTTGCTTTGATAATAAACAATGAAGAGGCATACAGGAAATGTGGGGATGACATGCAACCAAGGTCTCTGGCCGGATTCAAACTGGCAGTGTTGCTGTTAAGTGGTATGCATTTGTAGACCGCTAAGCCACCGTGACATCCCATGTTTGTGATTTGAAACAATTTGGACAGATGCATCTGCATTCCTGTTGCCATGTTTTAACACAAAATCCTGTTTTGACGATGTATTTCTCTGCATGTGTCTGTATTTATGTGAACTTGACATGAATGCCTCAGGAGTTCAGTGGTACTGCACATGAAGCGCTTGTGATTGTATGTGCATGTTTTGAGACAGTGGCAAATGAATTATTTTCCATTTTGCAAGTCGGAAACACATAAAAGTGATTATCCTTCATCCAACCATCACTCCTTTATTCTTTGTTGTTGGCAGCTTGTCTTATCACGAACCTATCTGTGCGTAACATCATACATTGGATGTTTATGTTGGATGCATCTAAGTGTATGCATGTGCTAGTGTGTGTGTGTGCATTCTTCTACAGCTCACTGGTGGCTCAGATCTTATGCCTTGAGCTGTAGTTAGTCCAGATGTTTGGTGTCTACAGGAACATACTACTTTGGAAACTTTCCCACATGCTATCTGGTGTGGTTGACTCTGTGCTGGCCCCAAACTTCAAAACAACCCAGCTCTAAAAATAGTCTGAAGCTCTTAATCATTCTGCAGACTCTTAATGTCTCTGATAGTTTGCTCACAGAGCTCAGCTTGGACACATGCAGTACTACCCCCTCTCAAGTCATGCTGTAAGAACTGAATACATCTCATGGCATGACATCTTAGGCTGGATTCACAAGACACTAAGCATCTGATTTTTAACTCTTTGAGGCTCCCTGTCATGCTGTCTCACACCAGAACCGATGACATAAGGAGCTGACTTATAAAATTCAACCAGGCTGAATACCATGACAGGAAGAAACCTCCCCAAGACTACTCTTTTCTGTGCAGTAATGTTTTATTTCAACTATACATGCCGTGTTAAAAAAATCAACAAAAAATATCATGAAACAAAGACCATCATTATTATTTACACATTCACAGTACAACTTTACAACATATCTACACGCTCAAATACTCTGGAGATCATATATACAGCTGGCCTTGCATCGCCATGTTGCACAGTATTTAAATCATAATGACATGACAAAATCCGGTTCATCTGCACATCTGCACATACACTGAGCTCAGACTGAAATATAAAGGCTTCAATTTAGATTGCAACAGAAAGACCCACTTCATATTGCAATGTACAAGGCAGTTGAGCAGTGTATGTTGAGTGTATGTTTGTGATGTCAGTGTGCATGTGTCGAGTAGAAAAGAGAGCCCAAACACTGGTTAGATGACAGGCAAAAAGTCTTTACATACAATCATCACTTGTAAACAAAATGTGGCTTTGGGCTAAACAGGCAACTGACACTCGGATAGGATTGCAGATGTCACCCAAATAATGTACCCATTTCTGAGAGAAATTATCCCTCAGTCATCCCTACTGGCCGATAGAAACAATTCTTGCCACTGCAATCCTGGGGAATTGCAGATTCTGCGTGACCACCGCCCATGCCAACAGACGGCTTTCACATGAACGCTGTTAATACATTGGATGTGGGCAGGATGTGCTGCGTTGAGTCGACTGCTCCACAGTACAAGGTCTAACCACCCTACATCCCACTGTCAAGAAAATACATTCACTGCATGGCACCTCTTATGTGGTGGATTAACACAATTCTTTTCAACACCGGCAGTAAAGGACAAAAATTGATTTATACCCCAAATTAATGTGTTTTGACTGTCTTTTTGTACAACTAGCATTCACAGATGGAATGTTTGTCAGACAATTTGTTTTCCACATATTTTCGGTTTGGATTAGGTAGTGATTTTACAACACATCCTGCTGATTTTCAAATGGCTTATATAAAAATTGTTTATATAGTATATGACAATAACATACAGAGGACCAATTGACATTGCCAATATTATATACTGTAGTAGTTCATTTTGTGAATAAGGCACACAATGCACAGATTCAGGTTCACTTGCCTAAAAATATTTATACTCCTTATTTATAATATTTAAATATATACAGTATCTTGTCATTCCCAGCATGACTCATTTGGACACATTGGTAAATGTTGTGTTGATTGTACACTGGCCACTCGCAGGGAAGCTGCACAGGGAACATGGGCTGCAGAACCAGCATGGCAGATGACAGAGGTGTTACATCCACATATTGTTCTAGGGTCAGTTTAATATACCTTTTAATAGGATTAATGTAGGAGGAAAGTTCTAGTGTTCTTCTATTATGGGACACACGAGTTTAACAGAACAGAGGTGCCCTGAAATGTTGAATTCATATACATGGGCTAAACCATTGGTGTTGCTTTAGTTTCATATGGTAAATTCCTTAAATAACACAGTAAAACATTATAAAGGCAAATCACTTTGTTCAAAATTCAGTTATAGAACGAGATGAGAAATGTATGTTTTTTTTTTTCTTAATACCATTGCTACATAAAGAAATAGGTCTCTTGAACCACCTGTATAATTCCTACAAAGGGGCAGTGGAGGTTAGGGGAGGTTTCGGTTCTGGAGAGAAACACGTTTTCCAATTTATCAGTTTAAACAGTGCGTTTGGTTTCTGAAAACTGTACTTCTTGGCCTCTGTCTGACAGACAAACACATATGTCTAAAACCAATAGCAGCAAATGTACTATGTAAAATTTCCCAGTGTGTTACAGAGTCAATGTCCCAGTATACACCCAGCATGACCAACTTCACATCAGCCTAACCTAATTACTAGAAACACTATAAAGTGACACAAAAATAAGGTTTAGGATCGGTTCAGGTGGGTTAAAACAAGAGCAGAAAGAGCTAATATTGTTGAAATGAGAGACAGTGACTAAGGTCTTAGACACGTCATAAGGTGCATCCTCTGGCATGTGGCACCACTCTTAATAACCAAATGTGAAAGCTAATTATGTGTACTGCCTTTACAAAAATCTGCTTTCCAATCAACCAACACACACTCGCACATTAATTTGCTCTTTTTCTTTGTTCGCTTGCTGCTTGATTCTGATGTTTGTGGCCATATGTATCTTAACACGTTCACAATGATTTTTTGGTATCCTCTCGCCTGCCCCCAGCCATCTTTCTAACAAAGGCATGGCTACCTCTCCTTTGTTTAGTTCACATTAGTGGGAAGACAGTGCTTAAGGGCAGTAACAAATGAGACCCATTCTTCAAGTATTCCACTGTTTTTAACCTGGTACCACATGCACAGACGCCATAGCTGCCCCAGCTAGTGTCCTAGTGTACCTCGTACCTAATATCGGAACGGACAATACCCAAGCCCAGATACAATGGGGAGCAGCAGATTCACCACTGTCCACTGTTCATATCCTGTCGCTACCGTGACAAGGGAGCGAGATGGAGACATAGGGAGCGAAAAAGCCCCAAGGAGTATCTTTGGCCACATGTGTGATTTCCCTTTTTAGTGTGAGTGAATGTGCATATCATTTAAAGGGGGACCACACCTCAAGTCGATACACAAACACACAATAGGCCCTACCCCATCCATAGCCCCAACCCCAAGCCCCCAGGGCTCAAAGCTCTACAGTCAAGGCCAAGAGCTGACTCAGAAGTGTCCATGCTCTTTTAATAACTGTACTTATTGACCACTCGCATCTGTGGAGTCTGTGGTGAAAACCCGTTGGGTTTTGGGGGCACATCTGGCTTTAGCGATGGGGTCCGTTTAAGTCCCGTTCGAGGGAGTGAGCAATGTCCACTGTAGCTGCTCTGTCGGGATACAGAGGATGGGTGGGCTGAGTGCATTCCTGCCCCCATCACTCCGCTATGGGAGTCAAGTCTGGAGGGGGGTGTTGGGGGCATGTAACCCCCTCTGTTCATACTGTGTTGGCGAGACACAGACACCCCCATGGTTACCCCATTTGGTGAGGTGGATAAGGAGTGCCTGTGAGAGGCACTCCGGTGGAGTTGATAACCCCCTCTTTGCCTCTCCAGGGTGCCACCCATGCTCAGGCTGCCTGTTGGTGTTGTTGGAGTGGTGGGCATGGGCACATCAACCCTCTTGGTGGGGCTGTGCCTCGGCAGTGAGGAAGAGGGAGAGTACAGGGAAGCCTCACGGCTGGGCACCCTAGGGGGTAATTCAGTCAGTTCCTCCATGGGCTCCAGTGTGAGCTGTTGCCTTGGGCGGGGCCCTGATCCCTCCTGAAGAATGGCCTTGGGGTTGGCCACAGAGTCATTGAGGTGTTTTAAAAGGTCATTTAGGGTATTTCTAGCATCCACAGACCTCTTTTGTTCTTTCCTACCTCCCTTAGAATCTGGATTCTTCAGCTTTGTTTCAGAAGAATGTGGCAGTGTATCATCTCCATTGTCAAGGTTCGGATGGTCATGTGTGGCATTGGGCAGGACAACTGCACTAGGGATGTGGGAGTGTCCCAGCGCAAGGTGAGGTTGGTGGGAGTTGGAGTTAGGAGGAGCAGCAGCAGAAGAAAGGAACTGAGGACTCTTGGCCGATGAGTTGGACTCCTTGCGAGGCCCACTGACCTTCCCTTGAGCCCTTTCCCACTGGTTTTTGATGGGCTGCAGGCCTTTCTGTTGAAGCACAGGGGTGGACTCAGGTGTAGGCAGGGCAGCCAACTCAGGGGGCTGACAGCCATCCCGCAGGATCATGGTCTTGGTGTCACCATTAGGTGTATTCAGGTCTTTGCCGTTGCTCAGCAGATTGGTGTACAGCTTGGGAGAATCAATGTTGGTTTGGTACTCCTAAAATAAAAAAATAAATGAGTAAGATTAGGTACTGTTTCACATCCTCTCCACAAAAGCCTTTGATGTAGCATTGGTGCTGTTTTTATGGCCGTACCTTTACAGGGCTGTCAAAGAGGCCGTTGAGCTTAACAAAGCTCCCAGTGGAGTCGGAGCAGGATGGTGCTGACTCTGTGTCCTTGCGGACATGTCTTGGCTTGCGGAGGAATGAGTCTCGGTAACAGAAAACAATCAGACCAGCCAGGAGAGCACCCATGAGAAAAGCAGCAAACACGCAGGTGATGAGGATGTTCATGTGGACCATCTGGTTGGTCTCACCTGCTTGGATATCCCACACACCTACAAAACATTAAGGCATTGGTTAACCCCTGGTGAAAAGTCTAAGTGCTCAGTGAATCATCCCTCCCCATTCTACAGCAAAATTGTGCAGGTTTCTGTGTGAACACAATAATGCATGAGTTTTTGCTTTTACACCTCCCCCCATACAAGGTAGCCAGTAAACCACAACCAAATCTCATAAATATTGACACATTCCTATTCATCTAAACCCAGATGAAGAAATATGGTGAAAATTGGCAGAAGCTGTTAGGTACCCACATCCATTTCACCATCTATAAGTAGCAGTGCTATGTTAGTTGAGAAGGAAAGAGTGTTGCCTTAATCCACGTTCCACTTTTTGTCATGCATTTAACCGGTACAAAAGGGTTAGGAGTGCGCTCTTATCTGAGATAGAAAGACGTAGTCTTTTTGCATGTTTTCGCAAGAGATCAACCAGCAGGAAGTTGTTCAAAGGAAAGAGAGGCAGTGATTGCCTTCCAGGCGTTGAGGTAGCTACTGCTCTACTTGAAGTTTGTTAGTAACCACAGACATTGAAAGAGTTAGTCATCCACCATGCGTCCACAAAAGTGATGTGGCAGAGCAGGCCCAGTCAATGATCTACCAGCCAGGGTAAACTGTTACTAGAGCTAGAGTTAAAATATCTATACAGATGGCAGAGACAGAAGCTAAATCCAAACAAAGGATTTTAAAGAAACAATATGAGAAGGGTGAGTGCAAGCTTTAATGATTAGAAAACTGGGAATAAATAATTCAAAAGTTAGAAAGAAAGAACATAAGAAAATAACAATTTAAAGAAAACAATGGTAATGTGAAAATATATCTATAGATTATGAAATGAAAATATATATTTGAAAAAGAGACTAAAATCTGCCATGTTATTTAATCAAAATCCTAAATAACTGCCATTGTGTGCACGTGTGTATTTGCATATGTGAGCCTATGTGTGAATCCACATTTGTGTGGCTTAGTGAGAGTTGTTGGCAGCTATCAGTTCAGGCTCAATGCAGCATGCTGGCTGCCTCCCTGTGGGCCTTACCCTCTTGGCCCCCTGGGATTGAGTCTAAAGAATGGGAGGTGGCTGGGTCATCCTGCAGCACAAAGCCTGAGCCGTAGAGCTCTGGACCAGGTCCAGAGCTGGGGCTCTGAGTGGGTATGAGTACTGGGGGGTGTATGGGCCCACTGGGGTGGACAGTGACTGGCGTTGATGAAAACTCCATGTCTGTGGTGACAAACAAATTGTTAACAAACTGTGCAGACGTGGCTCAAGCATACTGTTATCATCTCAGTTAGTAGGCATGGGCAATGGATAATTTTTAAGGTTAGTGTCTGAAAAATAGTGAATAAACCACAGTTAACCTTTTGCAAAATGTTGTGTTTAAACATTCACAGATCAATGAAAATACATTTTTCTTTTCTTTTTAGACAATTTTGGAACGCAAAAAAGAGAGGATACTGAGGTTCAAAGAGGAGTTGGTACACAACAGTAAGGATGCCAAGGAATGGTGGTTGGACATGCAAGAGGGAGGAGGATTCGGAACAGGAAGTGATGAGTGAAAAGGAGGAAGTGAATCTGTGCTGAGATGGAGCACCGTCTGGTGAATGTGTTGTTTGTGACGATGAAAATGAAGCAGGTGACATTGGCATTCAGGAGGTGCTTGGTAAGAAAAGATGAAACGTGGCAGTGGTGGAAAGACAGGGTTGGAGATGCTGAACTCAAAGAAAGAAACCATTTGAGTAAAAGATCAAACTAACCAGAGGTAGGGTCGCCAAATGATTTGTAATCTGGCGCTGATGTAGTGCCCAAAAACGCTAAAAGAATTAAAAGAACAAGAAATCAGTATAAGGGAATTCAGAAGTAAAAACTAAAATCCCTAAGAGACACTAAGAGTGCAGTTTGTTTAATAATAAAAGATATAAAGCACTCCAGAGCAGTGTCCTTTTCTCACTGGAGTCACAAGAAGCCCTCTGGTTCTGATCAATACTGAGGTTCAGCCTGGGTCATGTTTAGTCGGTACAAATGAAGGGACAGAAGTTTTAAAGTAAAATCAGTAAAGGCACATTTTCTGCCATCATATCTTAAGACCTCTACCATTTGCACCGGCTGAGCATGACCCTTAATTGTACATGTCCATGTTTCTGCCTCACAGGTGGCATAAGTTACAGGTGGCCATGTACTGTATGCAGATGTGTGTGTTAATATTGCACATAGACTTATGTAGGGGCAAGTTACTGGAGTGGTTACTGGTGTGAGTGTGCAGGCTCATGGTGTGTGTGAAGATGAGTTTCATTTGTGTACGTGTGTGTCGATGTATGTGTATCTGTGTGTGTGTGTGTTTATATATGTCTCAGGATAGATGGCATGGCATGGAGATGAGAACCGTACCGTGACAGTCTCCCAGGTGGGCAGTGTTTCCTAATTCAACGTCCTGCTCATATTCAGTCCTGAAAATAGATAGAAGACAAGATAGATAAGTTTAATCAAAGAGCTGCAAACATTCTTGTTATCTCATTCTCTCATCTATAATATTTCCACATTATATTTCAACTGAGGCTTGAACTCACAAGTCACCAGGCTGTATCCTCTCACAGGTTCCATGAGGCTTCCAGCCACAGTAAGGATCCCTTGATGCAATGCAGGACCTTTTTGCCACACAAACACACACACACACATCATCAGACCACAGGGTTAAATCATTCTGCGAAGTGCACTATAATCATTTGTGACTGACTGAACATTAACCACAAGGAATAAAGTGAAGCTGTTATCGTTCCTTTTATGACATTTACTGCAAAACAAAACAATAAACTCACAAACCTATGACCGACCACACGAAGCACATTTTAACCCCCCCCCCCCCCC